ATTGGTTATTGTGAGTTCAAAGCAAGCCAGGAATTAAATAAACAAATAAGAGAACAAAGACTCACAGGGGGTTCTAACTGATGTACTTCCTTTAAGCACAGAGGCAGAATAAGGGCAGGAAAATGCTGTGTTCCTTCAAAGGATTGTAATTTTGTCACATGTCTCACCTGAGTAAAAGGACCAGCAGGTCTTACCCTCATCTCATATCTCCTCAACAGAAGCATTTCTGTTACAACAGGTAACTCGAGTTCTCTAAAAAATGTAGCAACTAAGTCTAATTCATTTTGAGCTTTCTTTAATGCCAGATAAGCTTACTCCCCTTGAGGTACATATGGGTGTGGCAAGCCACAAGAATATATCATAGAGATTCAGCTGTGTATAAAAGCTATACTTCGACCGGCCATGGGTCTGACAAAAGGCACACCATTTATTATGAATATTTGGTGCTATGCAGCTTTTAATATTTCAGCTGTCTTCTCCTGTGAAATTCTTGAGTGCCCAAATATTTCCAGACCTGCTGAAGTTCTAGGTTACTAACTCCCCAGCTGAGCCGAGGAGACAAGCTCGCTGGACACATAACTTTGCTTCCTGTGCAAATGAAGCTCAGACCCTCCCCCTGCCTCAAGGCCCAGCAGCTCTCCAGAGCAATTGACTGAGAACAAAAGAGGTTTTTACATATCAAGGAAGAAGGTAGAACAACCTTCCTGAGGAGCCAGAGAACTGAGTGGCCAGGGAAAGAAAGGACAGGCATTTTCTGTAGAGTGGACAGAACTTCATGGGCAGAGAGAAGAGTGGAAGGCAGAGGTTCCATAGAGGGTAAGCAGATCTCCAGTAGGAATTTCTGAGAGCCAGGAGTAGAGAATGGTAGAAATGGAGAATGAGGAAACAGAGGACAAAGATGAGGATGGAAGCATAAGAGCTTAGTTGTTAGCAGACTATGAGAGGAAAACAGAAGAACTGAAACTATGTAGGTAGGATTTCAGATGAGAGAGATGAAGTAGATGGAAAAGAGCTTGGTATATCTAGAGTTATTTCTGCCCTGAATGCCTGATGGAGCTATAGCTGTATTGATAGAATTTTGTCTTAGAGGAATAAAGTTAGCAGACATAAAAGTATAGTGTATGTATATTTTTTCCCTCAGATATCCCATGCTGGACATAGCAAAATAACCAGGACACCTGGGAATTCAATATCAGAAGCAGAAGAAGTTCTCATTGAATGTGTACCGTTGACACAGGCATGGTCATACCAAGGATTCCAATGTCTCATACCCATGGGAATGGCAAAGTCTTCCCCTGTTCAGTCTTGAAGAAAAGCAAAAGCCCTCCCGAAGACCATATATCAATGTTGATAGTATGTAAAACTTATAATCACAGCTTCCTTCTCCAGGCCAACTACAATCTGACCCAATTTCCCTACAAAGACACTAAGACACAACACCAAAAAGATTAACACTATGCTGGATAATTTTATGTCAACTTGACACAAGATAAAGTCATTTGAGAGGAGGGAACCTTAAATTTTAAAAGAAGTCTCAATAAGGTCTATCTGTGGGTAAGCCTATAGGGCATTTTCTTAAACAATGATTGATATAAGAGGGCCCAGAGGGCATAGTCCATTGTATTTGGTGCTATCCCTGAGCTGGTGGTCCTAGTTCTTATAAAAAGACAGGCTGTGCAAACCATGATGCTTTTGGTCATGGTGTTTTATCACAACAGTAACCCTAAAACATCTTGCTTCCCCATTTAGCTGTATAAATTACCCCAGCTCCTCAGTTCAGATTCAGATGTATTATTAAAACACACACACACACACACACACACACACACACACACACACACACACACACACACTGAGTTTCCTTAGTTTCTAGGCTACATATGGTGTGCCTCCATAAGAGGCCATGGACCTACTCAATACAAACTTTCCTGTATGTGTATCTTTCATTTATTCATTCCCTGCTACTCAATTAAGGTTAATTTGTAAGCAAAATGAACAATAAACCTTTAGTCATGACTCCATCCTCACCCATTAGGTGCAAGACATACTTCAAAAATCAGGACCATGAACAAACACTGCCCTTGTGAGATGTTCAGACAAAGGAAGTTCTTGTGTTTCCTTAAGTGATTGAAGCAGATTACTGTATCATCTACAAAAAAGGTCTCAAGGTCTTGGGATTGCCCCATAACACCATCCATCCATCAACACCAGTCATCCATCCTTACCAGCTTCCAGGTTTGTAATTGAGAAGACATAGAGAGAAGGGCATACTAAGAAGCCCTTATTATTATGACTCTATAGCAGAGCTTGAGGTCAGGAATTGTAATGCCTTCAGAGGTGGCTTTATTGTACAGGATTGTTTTAGCTATCCTGGGTTTTTTGTTTTTCCATATAAAGTTGAGTATTGTTACTCTAAATCTGTGAAGAATTATGTTGGGATTTTGATGGGCACTGCACTGAATCTGTAGATAGCTTTTGGAAAGATTGCCATTTTTACTATGTTAATCCTACCAATCCTTGACCATGGGAGATAGTTCCATTTTCTGATATCTTCTTCAATTTCTTTCTTCAGAGATTTAAAGTTCTTGTCATACAGGTCTTTCACTTGCTTAGTTAGAGTTACCCCAAGGTATTTTATATTATTTGTGGCTATTGTAATGGATGATGTTTCTCTAATTTCTTTCTCAGCCCATTTATCATTTGTATATAGGAGGGCTACTAATTTTTTTGAGTTAATCTTGCATCCTGCCACATTACTGAAGGTATATACTATCATATCATCTGCATATACTGCAAGTTTGACGTCTTCCTTTCCAATTTGTATTCCCTTGATCTCCTTTTGTTGTCCTATTGCTCTAGCTAGAACTACAATCACTGTATTGAATAAATATGGGGAGAGTGGAAAGCCTTGTCTTGTTCCTGATTTTTTAGTGGAATCACTTTCAGTTTCTCTCCATTTAATTTGATGTTGGCTGTTGGCTTGCTGTATATTGCCTTTATTATGTTTAGGTATGTTCCTTGTATCCCTGATCTCTCCAAGACCTTTATCATGAAAGGGTATTGGGTTTTGTCAAAAGTATGTAAAATGAAAAAAAAAATTCTTAAAAAAGGCATATTCAACAAATATTTGTTTAAATTTGTGGGGGGAAAAAAAAGAAAAAGAAGCCAGAGCCATGTCAGGCATAGTGTAGCTTAGAGATGAGGATGCTTAAGTCTGCAAGACCACTTTTGTAGGCTCTGAAGGACTGTCTTTGAGAAAAAGGAGAAAATGAGAATTCCTACTATTAGTTCACAGGCAGCATGTTTATTAGCTCCAGGGAAGTATCTTGGGAAGGAGCATGGTAGAAGCAGAACACAGCACATGGAGCTCTGTCAAGATATCAGATGAACTGGTGCTGAAATGAGCTTCACATTGTTTAGTCAGGTGGCCACACCTTCTACCCGGGTTGACATCAGCCAAAAACTTCATGACTAGGATGCTACCCTCAGCTGAGGCAAACCCTGAAAGTAGCTTGGAAAGCAAGTATGTCCACTAAGGTTCCTCCTAAGAAGGAAGAGCAGAAATCAGTAAGAGAAAGCAGTGCTGGCTCTCTGTCATTTACCCTATTGTTCAAGGGAAGTTTTAGATAAGACTGCATCTTCTGCAGAAATGCATGGCATATTGGTACTTGTCTATTTTGCCCAGGTAGAATCACCTTATTCTCTTTCTATAAAGAGTACCTTACCTTTGTGAAAACTTGTCTGCAGCTTGGGTGGTATGAAAGGGACCTGACAGAAAGAGCCTTTCTACTAATAATTATATGGTATGTCAGCATGGTACACTATTGGTACAGAATAAACACTATTCTGTAATCACATGTAATCGAGTCAGTGGGATCATATTGGAGGTTAAATTTGCAACTCTGTTGACATATAGGAACTTCAATGCTGGCAATACAAAAATGGTTCCAAAAAACATTTTCATAGTCACTCAAAAACAAGAATTCTCACCCACAAAAATGCATGAGAGGTTCATATGTTCCTTTTATTTCTTAATTGTATTATCCTGGCTTGTATGATGTCTCCAAATCTGTTTGTATTTCTATATGAATCTTCCATAATTAATGTGCAAATTATGTTGATTAGTATTTTTCCTACTGCATTGAGTACTGCTAAACTAATTTTCTTCACACTTTTGGGGTTTTCTAGTTGTACATGACCACACATGTTGCATTATTTCTATTTATAAGTTTTCACTGGTGAATCAGTGTTTTAAAGGTGGATAATAGTTGAGTATTAGTATTGGTGTGTGTGAGTTCCTTTTGGATCAATTTTCAGATGAATCTACACTTTAAGCACTAGCTTTGACAAATGCAATGCATTTGGGGGGTTTTCTAGAATGGACTTTATAGGGTGCATTAATAATGAGGCATTAATTTAACAAAACTGTGAGCAAATTGTTTTCTCCTCAATATCAATTTTCTGGTGGACAAAAGTTTTGAGGAAAAATTGTGGATTCATTACATGTTTTATAATATGCTTTTCCAAGAGAGATGAAACATGCATGTGTATTTACTCATAAAAAGAAAAGAACTGAAAAAGAACCAAGTACGGATGTCACTGAAGTTCATCTTGTTGAATGAATGAGTTTTATTCAGGTTACTTACAGGAATATGTGACAGGAGTTGCTTACAGTAGTAAAAGGGGCTCAGACAGTTGCTACCATGAAACTCCAACCCACCTTGGGATACAACTTATGAACAATGGACACCCTGAGCCCACTACTCATGTGTAGGCCTGTCTACATGTTGGAGGGTATCATTTCTCGGTATCTCAATTCATCAGAGCTTCTTCTAAGCAGCATTACTGATCTGAGTTTCTTCAGGGGACTTAAGCATAAGAAATCCTATGTTTTGCAGACTTCCTGATGATATATGAAGGTGTTATTTTTTTGTGTTATTACCTTCCCTTCATGATGAAAATGTTACAGTCTCCAGAAAAATTTTAATCAACATTACCTTCCTGTTTTTACCACTTTGCATAAATTATGCAGTCTTTGAGGTCAAGAATAACATGTTTTAATGAATTTTTTTCTACATTTAGAATGTTTGCTCAGTGCAAACTATAGATATTTTCTAAGAGTTCAGCATTACACAAAGGCTATCTAATGTTCATAATATTTTGTCATAAAATAGTGTCTTTTAAGTACAGAACTTGAAAAAAAACATATACAAAGTCATTTCCAACAGAAACTTTTCTCCCCAGGATGAATTTTCTGATAGATCCTTAGCTGCGTCTGCTAGCTAAAGCATTAGTGACATTAGCTACAAGTTTCTCTCCTGTATGAACTCTCTGATGTTTTTTAAGAGTTGAGGCACACATGAATGATCTCACACATTCACTACACTTGTAAGGTTTCTCTCCTATATGAAGTTCCTGATGTATTCTAAGTTCTGAAGTACTTGAAAAGGAGTTCTCACATTCCCAACATTTGTAAGGTTTTTCTCCTCTATGAATTCTCTCATGATTTCTAAGACCTGATCTATATTTAAAGAATTTCTCACATTCACTACATTTGTAAGATTTCTTTTCTGTATGGCTTTTCTTATGTGACTGAAGATTTGAGCTACATGCAAAGGACTTTACACATTCATTACATTTATAAGGTTTTTCTTCTGTATGAAGTATCTGATGTCTTTTAAGATGTGAGGTATATGTAAAGGATTTTTCACATTCCCTACATTTGTAAGGTTTCTCACCTGTATGAATTCTCTGATGTTTTATAAGAGTTGAGCCAGATCCAAAGGATTTCTCACATTCCCTACATTTGTAAGGTTTCTCTCCTGTATGAATTCTCTGATGATTTTTAAAATTTGAACTATTTGTAAATGACTTCTCACATTCACTACATTTGTAAGGTTTCTCTCCTGTATGAATTCTCTGATGATTTTTAAGAACTGAATTATATAAAAATGACTTCTCACATTCACTGCATTTATAAGGTTTCCCTCCTGTATGAATTCTCTGATGATTTTTAAGAGTTGAACTACATGTAAATGACTTGACACATTCACTACATTTGTAAGATTTCCCTCCTGTATGAATCTTCTGATGATTTTTAAGAGTTGAACTATATGTAAATGACTTTTCACATTCACAACATTTGTAAGGTTTCCCTCCTGTATGAATCTTCTGATGATTTTTAAGAGTTGAATTACGTGTAAATGACTTCTCACATTCACTACATTTGTGAGGTTTCTGTCCTTTATGAGATTTCTGATGTGTTCTAAGATTTGAGCTACATCCAAAGGATTTTTCACATTTACCATATTTGTAAGGTTCCTCTCCTGTATGAATTCTCTGATGGTTTCCTGTAGCATCGCTAGTGTTATAAGGTATACACTGAGATGATTCACAAAGCATTTTGCCAGGGTCATTATTTTTGTAAGACTTCTTTTGGATATTCACGTGCTGATAGACAGTACTATTTGATCCTTGATCCATGATGTTCTCATATATACCACACATGCGATGTTTCTCTGGAAAGTGAGAACAAATAGGGCTGAGAGGAACTGATGAATGAGTAAGAGATTCAATACTTGAAGTTCCCTCAAGGTAACTAGCATTTACTAGAAGCACAGCTCTCAGCATAGGCCTTCTGTGTTTTACTATCATTAACTGAACAGTGATAAAAACCACTCTAGTCTCCATTAAACACAAGGATCACTGAAGGGGCTTCCATCCTCACATGAAATGGATATTTTGAAGAGGCAGGAAAAATGGGTGATTGAGAAAGCATCATATGTGGATTATTTCTATGCATAGTCATACTGTGCATCCTTGCCTGACTAGGAATTCACTGTGTTTCCCAAGCCGGCCTGAAACTCATCAGTTCCTCTTGGTTCAGCCTCCCTAATGCTAGGATTAAAATCATGTTCACCAAGACTAAAGATATAGACCAGATTCCAAAAATTAATCAATGAAACAAACAAAAACAACAACATAGCTACCACAGTATTTTCTCTATTTTAAAACTTCCCCATTTTTTAAATCAAAAGAGGTGAATAGTTTGATTCAATAGTAAAATGAAAATATTCCAATCACTAACAACACTTCACTGTATTTCTATTCTCTGAATATTCAATATTCTTTAAACTTTGAAGTTTTCAGTTAAAAACTAGTTAAGAGGGCTTGACAGATCACAGTAGATAGCATTTGTTGCTTTTGCAGAGTATGCAGAAAAATGTAAAAGAAGTTATGTTTATTACCAGAATTTCCCTCATTTCTGGTAGTCATAGAATGTTCATGGAGTTTATTTAAAAACAATAGCAAATAATAGGTAAATCCAAACAATGAGTCAGTAATTCTACAAGAAGAGCATTCTTACCTACAAAAATGAGATTTCTGTAATTCTCCAACATCACATCAATGTATAAAGTTCTCCAAGCAGAATCCAGACATTCCCACTCCTCCTGGGAGAAGTCTACATCCAAATCCCTGAACGTCAACAGATCCTGTAATAGAAAATTACCCATTTACCATGTGCTTTGAGCAAAATGCTTTCCTATGGAAAAGAAACATAAGGAATGACAGACACTTTTGTGATGCAGATGAGGCATGACAATTATTCAAAGACTAAAGTTTTTTAGAGGTTGGACAGAAATGGGTTAGCAATTTTAAGCACAAGCTGCTCTTTCAGAGGACTCACATTCAATTCCTACTACACAACTGAGTTTAACTACACTTCCATGGGATCCAATGCTCACCTCTGATCTCTGCAGGCAGGATATAGATGGCAGTCATGCATATATTTTAAAGTAAAAATGAAAGTTAATTTTGGAGAAAGATACTTTCTAGAATACTCATACTGTTTTTTAAAATCTCTGTAAAAACAGGATGACATTGAGATTTGGCAAACATCAAACTTTTAGGGAGTATGAAATAACTATTTGAGGTATAGATGTGTACCTTTATGAGGGGCATTTTGATATCAAACATTATCACTGTGTCTAATCTCACATGGAAAAGTTATGATAAGCAAAACTGCTTCCAAATGTTTCTCCTATAGTCCTGCTCTCATATGGCTGCTGGCTCAATCTGAATCTTGGCCTCACATGATGCTGTTCTAAAATGCTCAGTTGGGATACTGTAGCCCAGCTTCAACGCTGTACCCTTTGTAGGTCAATATGGAAGGCAGAATTCAGGGATGAATTCAAAGTCAATGAGGTCTGTTTTTTGTTTGTTTGTTTGTTTGTTTGTTTTTTACTGATGAGGAAGATCAGTAAGAGTGCATAAATCCCATGTTCTAAAATACATAACACAGTCAAATAATCTGTGATGTTAAATTATGACACTACTTTGACTACCATGAAATAAATAGAAAAATCAGTATTAGATACTGTTATTCCACAAGCCAATATAGATGAATAACAATTTCAGAAATTCCATGTATGTTTTTACTACAAAATAGTTAGAGAAATTTATATGAATAAATAGCCTATGTGACAGTGCATTCATATGAAGTAGAAAGATCTTCTGTGATCAATAAGAATGCACAAAGTTTGTCAGAATTATATTAGTTCTTCATTAAGTATTTTGCTGCCTATGAGATCAGCTCAATTTAAAATTTGAATCTTGTCATTTTAACTGTGTTCTTTACTTGAATATTTGAGCTCACTCATCTAAGAGAATTTTAGATTGCATGAAAAATTGTCATTTATTATTGTTCTTTTATATTTCACAAAGAAGACACAAGGTTATATCCCCACTCCTTCAAAAATGTCCATGAGAAATGTAAAGCTGGAGGGTAGAGAAAGACTTCAATGGTAGAAAGAACTTGCTGTTTTTGCTGGGAAACCCATTTTAATTCTATCTACACATGTAACAGCTTACCACAGTACCTGATTCCAATGCCAAGTGTTTGGTGCTAACCTCAGGACTCCATATTCACCAGGTAGAAATGAAGTACATATAAAAACATGCAGAAAACATTCACATATGCAAATATATTTCATTTAAAAGAAAGAAATGGAAATCTGTCCATTGCAACCTCACTTCAGAATCTCCACCTGGTACTCCACTACAGTAACTTTCGGGAAACAAAACCATAGGTTGGGGGAGCTTTCCTCCTTCCAAAAGAAAAGAGAGCAAAATCATTAAGAGAGGCATTCACTGAGACTAGAAAATTGATGGGTTATGCACAGCTCCAAGACAACACTTTCTAGACAAGTCTTACTTCATATTTCACATGATGTAATATCATTATGGGGCCTGCTTTGCTTATAGAATTCACTGTGGTACAATGTCTGAAAAATAAAATGAAGGATAAAGAGAAATTACTAAACTATTGAGAATTTACCACTGACCATTGGAATAAAGAGAATGATAAGAGCAAGAAATCTCCTGAGACAAATATATTTCAGGTATTCAAAAACTGTGATCCCAGTCCCCAACTCAGAGACTCCATGCTTGACCAGAGGTCATGCAGGCCACCAAAACTTCGGGTATGCCGTCTGCCAGAGGACATTCACTCACTCTTTAGTTGCCTGACCACCCTACTCTCGAACCCCTCCCATCTTCACTATGGTGTCATGTCCCCGCCCACAACTCAGGCAGAGACCCCCTACTTGAGGAGATGTTATGCTGGCCACCAGAACTATAGATAGGTCACCCACCACAGACCACCTCCACTCTCTCAGTGCCTGCCCAACCTACCCCCAACATTCTTTACCCTCCTCCTTGCCCTGTCCTAGCCTCTGACTCAGGCAGAGACCCCTGCTTGACCAAAAGCCATGCTGGTCACCATAAGACCAAAGAGGTCAAATGCCAACAATATTCCCCTTATACACTCAGTGCACTCACTTCCCATTCTCAATTCACCCACACCACCTCATTACCATGTCCGAACATCCAACTCAGGTGAAACCCTGACACCAGATGCCTCCCCAGACACCAGAAATCCAGTCCTCAACATGGATGAAGGACACATGCTCAACCACAAGCCACATCAACCTGGAGACCAGAGATAATACAGAAACCAAAAAATACCCATCTGACAAAGATAAACTCAGAAACTGACACCTGTGCTTATAATCACCACAAACCCAGATGCCTAGATACCAGCCCAAGAGCACAATCAACAACAGTCAAGGCAACGTCACCACCAGAGCCCAGCTATCTTACTACAACAAATGTTGAGTATCCCAACACAACTGAAGCACAAAAAAATAAAGACATTAAAATCATATTTATGGAGGTGACAGAAGTCCTTAAAGAAGACATAAATAAATCCCTTAAAGAAATCAAGAAAATACAAACAAAAACATGGAGAAAATTAATGAATCCCTTTAAGAAACAAGAATAAACAGTTGAAGGAAATGAATAAAACTTTTCAAACCTAAATATGGAAATAGAAACAATAAAGAAAACACAAACTGAAGGAATTCTGGGAATTAAAAAAAAGTAAGTAAACAGGAGCAAAAGATGCAAGCATTACCAAGAGAAGTCAACAAACACATGGATGAAAGAATTCCCATGCAGGGATTGCCCTGGGAGGAGGAAATAGATTTTGCCAGCTGACTAGGGGCAGGTGGTAACTGAGAAATGATCTACCTCAAGACCCAGCTATAATACTTTTGTGTATATACCCAAAGAATGCTCCACCCTACCAGAAAACACTTGCCCAACTATGCTCATAGCTGCATTATTCACAATTAGCCAGAAACCAAATAATTGATGTCCTTCAGCCAAAGAATGTATAAAGGAAAGGTGGGGCATTTACACAATGGAGTATTACTCAGCTGTTGAAAACAATCACATCATGAAATTTGCAGGTAAATGGATACAACTAGAAAAAATTATCCTGAGTGAGGTAACCCATTATAACAAACACTCACTTAGAAGCAAGCTGTTAATAAAGGTTAAGTATGCTACAACCCACAGACCCAGAGAGGATAAGTAACAAATTGGACTCAAAGCTGGATGTATGGATCTCCATGGGAAGGGGAAATCGATTATCCAGATGGATTAGGAGGGATCAAGTGGCAGGGGAGGGATGGAGGAAGAGAGTACAGGAGAGAGGCTAATGGAATTGGAGAGCATTGGTGGGCTATGTGGAACCCTAGTGCAGTAGAAACTTCCAGAATACTATGAGAATGACCCTAGGGAAGACTCCAAGTAATGGAGGAAATAGAGTCTGAACTGGCCATATTCTTTAACCAGACACCTTCCAGTGTTGAGACTGGGACACCAACCCAGCCACAAAACTTTCAAACTACAGTCTATCCTGACTGCAAGATATGCAGGGACAATGGAAGTGTACAACTTTTGGGAGTGGACAGCCAATGACTGGACTAATTTGAGGCCCATTGTACAAAAGGGAGTCCATGCCCAACACTGCCAGAAGACCAGGAAGCAGAGGCTGGAAAGCCCAGAGACCTGCAATAGAAAAAAACAAAAAACAAAACAAACAAACAACAACAAAAAAAAATGTGTTCTAAATGATCCAAATGATATTCTTCTCTACTCACGGATCAGTGCCTAGCCTAATTCTCATCTGAAAAGCTTCTTCTGGTAGCTTATGGGAACAGATACACAGCCAAACATTAGGTAGAGAGAGATCCCCATGAGGTCCCTTCCCTCAGAGCACAAGGCCTGTTCTTTTCTGAAAGGAACTGGAGGAGGACAGACGGGGAGGTGGGGAAGTGTGGGAAGAAACTGGGAGGAGTGGCAGGAGGGGAACCACAGTTGGTTGGGATGTGTTGTATGCGAGGAAAATATAAATCAGAATTAAAAAGCTGAAAAAGGAAAAAAAAAAACCAAACACCTTAGAGGCACATCATCACTGAATGATATAAAATGCCAATGAGAAAAACCAGTATACTGCAATCTGCAGCTCATCACAGAAACATCAGTTTCATGGCAAGAGCAAGCCAGACCATTCCATCTATCATCTGCCCACTCTACACCACTGAAACATTTAGTATTAGGATTCAGACAGTGAGTCTCTTCTAAGTCTACTTCTCAATAAATTGTTCTATGATACAAGGAAATAGTTCCATGTATTTGCATGGCCACATTCATAATCTTGGTTCTGGAAACCTGACCATCCCTGAGGTGTAACCTTTGAGGCACATCAGACTTTGCATCATCACTAATATATAAGGACACAGATTCATTCTCTGTAGAACTGTAGGGCATCAATATATGTCATTGATCATCATAATGGACTCTCTTTCACAACTGCAGGTCTTAAGTCTATGAAAAATATTTGCCTCACAGTAGTAATGGAGAGAATATAAAATAGAACAAGGCTGTGCTATGTAGGTGACACGATTTAAAGACAATTTTGATAATCAAAGAAGAAAAAAGAAAAAAAGTCACAGGAAATAAACACATCTGATGACATTGTCCAAGGCAGAGTACTAAAAAGCCTTCATGACTTCAATATCAAAATAATTTTCAAGGAAATATATGGACACAACACTGACCTGGTGCTCATTTACAGGAGACACAGCCATTCTCCTTGTTCTTCTCCAAGTTTCTGTCTCTGGAACAAAGACTGGAACTCTTGTTCACATTTCACATCAAGGTGTAAAAAGCACAAATCTACAAATACTACAACCATGTTATGTGTGTTATGGACAATGTCATACCACAGGAAAAAAATCCAAACACCCAAATGATACCATGTCTTGTCAACATTCCTACAAAGAGGAGAGCATGCAAAATTATACTTAGAGTGCTAAAAGAAAATAACTCTCAGGTGGTGGGAGTCATCATGGTCTTCTTTCTGTTTCTAGGCCTGACTATGGGAACAATATTCTTATTTAGGGCAGTTTTGTGACCATATGGGGACAGGGCTGTACTGTCTGCCTGCTTCCTGCTCATTGCCTTTTCTGCCAGGGTCAATGAGCAGAGGTCCAAAAGTTTGCTCTTCTAGATGACTTATGCATTCTTCTGGTCTGTGATGGGCCAAGATATCTGGGTCCCAGGGAGGGAGCCTCTGCAGATGGACTTGTCAATGGGGGTTCAGAGTGCCAAGGGTGCACAGGTTCTTACTAACAGCTCTGACTGATCTCTACTTAAGCCAAGCACAAGAAGCTCCTAGGCTGAGAGAGGTCTGTCTCTCTGCCTGTCACAAGGATGGGGGTGGAAGCGGCAGGCCCGACTGGTGTATATGATCTGATGATGTTCCTTCTCTCTTCGTTCTTGTATGCCTGTTCTCTGTGTCTCCACATCTTGTCATCTTCCTGCCTTTTTACACTGACAGAAACTAGATGCCTTCAGAGGCTCTCTGACTAAATAAACTTTCCCCCCTCCACAGCTCCCTGTGACCTCCCAATGCTTAACCCCTTGGACAGGCTAGGAGGCTGGCAGCCTGGGTCTAGGGGCTGAACATGGCCCTAGTGTGGACCTGGGTATAAGGGGAAGAAGGAACCCTTGGGCCTCAGAGGGGCTGAAATGAAGGGACACGCTAGAGCTAAGACAACCAGAGTGTGGTCCTTATTTAGAAAGGCCAATTAGTTTTACTTTTCTGCTCACTGTTTTTTTTTTAAGACAAGATGTAGCCCACAGTGACCCTGCATTCCATATGTCCCTAAAGATGACCTTGAACTGCTCTTGCTGCCTTCAGCTATCACGTGCTGGTATTGCAGGTATGCACCACCATGTCCTGGATCTGGGGATCAAATCCAGGGCTCTATGAATGTTAAGTAAGCACTGGGCTGACTAAGCTAACTCCAGCCCCTTTCTAATTTCAAAGGACAGGAAATGGAGTTTCCTCTTCCCTGTTACATTCC